CTTGTAATATATTTTCTTAGTACATGATGGGGCTCCTGGCACTGGCCACTGTGGGAAGACAGGATAGATAGACCTTTGGTCTGACCAAGAGTGTTCATTATGTAAATACAGGCAGTCCCCGGGTTACGTACAAGATAGGGTCTGTAGGTTTGTTCTTAAGTTGAATTTGTATGTAAGTCGGAACTGGTACATAATGTAGGCGAAACTCTAGCCAAACATTTCTCCAGAGCTCAGTTTTATTCTCCCACACCTCACTTCCCTCAGTCCTTTATTCTCAAGCTGAGGTGTCTGCTGAGAAAAGCCGCTCCGCGTCTCCCCGGTTTGCTGGGGGGGGCGCTAGCTTCACGTCTCCCTGGTCTGCTGGGGGGAAGCAGCTAGTGCGGGGTTGCCTCACCCCATTTGTAAGTAGGGATCTGATGTAAGTCGGATCCATGTAACCCGGGGACTGCCTGTAATAGGTAAAACCAACATTTGGCTGATTTACATGCTACTGAAAGTTTTATTGGTTTAAGCTTCTTTACTGTCTCAGCACTGAAAATGGTGACAATCCTGGGGTCCAGTAGCAGCCTGGAAGGAGGGCAACTCCTGAAATGCAAAATCCCTTTGTGCAGACTTGATGAAAAAGAAAGTATTGTCCCTAAGAAACCTAAGTGTGGACAACGCAAATCCAGCTTAAAGCTGCTGGTAGTTTGAGAACTGTCCTCTTACCACTAAAAAACTGGGGTCTGATGTTCATATACACTAAGGCTACATCTACAATGTGCATTGTTGAGCAAGAAGATATGCAAATGAGGTGAGGTGATGAATACTGCCGCACCTCGTTTTCATACCTAATGAACTGCCATTTTTGTGGAAGGGGCTTTTGTGTAAGGAGGAGCTGTCTACACTGCTCCTTCTTGCGCAAAAAAACCCTCTTGCGCAGGAGCTGTTTTTCCTGAAAATAAGCAGCAGAACGGTTCCTGCACAAGAGGGGTTTTTTGCACTAGAAGGAGCAGTGTAGACAGCTCCTTCTTGCGCAAAAGCCCCTTCTGCAAAAATGGCGGCTCATTAGGTATGCAAATGAGGCACGACAATATTTATTGCCGTGCCTCATTTGCATATTTTCTTGTGCAACAATTCACAGTGTAGACATAGTCTTAAGGGTCCCTTAATACTGCTCTGGCAATGTAATTGTGTCTTAAAGGGAGTATACATTATATTGGCTAAGTGGTATAATGGCCTACAGTATAAATGAGAACCAGGCCCAGCTACGGGGAAAATTACATTTTTGAGCTTAGCATACAGCTTCAGGATGATATCTCTGATGATCTCACACACTGTGCAGGATTCTGATGGCTGACAAATAGTGCTTGGGTGGGAGCACTCCAAGACAGAGAAAGATGCTACAGGAAGTGGTCCTGGCAATTCAGCAGGGGCAGTTTTTCCTGTGAGCTAGTATGAAGCTAACAGCTCAGAATGCTGAGAGGAGGGTGGGGGTCACAGCGCTGCTGGAGGCCCTCATTTGCAGAAGAAATGAAAAACTAAGATTCTGTCTCCTGCTATTGTGCATATCACTATATTACAGCGATTGAACAAGACAGTTCTGATACATACAGTTAAAATCAGTGGGCATTTAGCCTGAGTAACTGTGCAAACTCAAGCGGTCTGACTCCACTTATCATTACTAACTTGCCCATTTGTCTAATATAGTGAAGTGCTCCAATCCAATGCAGTTCATAATCTACAGAGTTTATTGCTAAACTTCCTTATATAATACTGAATCTGTTTCTCATTCTAGGTTTGATTTAATGTATTTTCATCTGATTTTTCCAGTGTATGTTAAAATTAAAAAGTAACTCTTTTACTGAATCTTTCATCCAAAGATCCTAACTTGCTTCTAGGACTGAGGCGTGCATCCATAACCTAATTGCTAGGGCAAGTTATGCAGTTAGTGACATCAGCTTTGACCTGAAGTAAGTGAAATCAGAATCAGACCCATTAGGACCATAAAACAAATTACACATGCGGAGAAATGAGACGATTGATTTTGACTAGTTAGTGATTCTTAGGTCCTCACAGGGTTTTATATAAGAGACAAGAATAAGGTTTCATATTTTCCAGGGAATATTTCAGTCCTACTAGCATTTTTCAAAGCAGGCAATAGCACAAAATGCAGCAGTTGACAAACAGTAAGACAAGCACTGGTTCCTGAAATCACTCAGACTATTCCTACCAGACAGAAGAATGGTTCTCAGGCTCCAGTAGTAACCGTGTATGTAGTAGACAGGGGTTCAGTTCCCTCTTCTGCAATTATTTTCTGTGTGACTTGAACCAGCAGTCACATACGGCCAGGTATTTAAGTACCAAAAGAAGCAGATAGACACCTAATGGGATGTTTCCAAGGTCATATTTGCATTGTTAGGCACTAGAATAACTGTAAAGACATGGTCTTTAGTTTCTCTCTGTTTCAGTTCCCTCTCTGTAAAACAGGGATAAAAGCAATTTCGCAGAGTTATCATTAGGAAAGATACATTTAGGAGTGGGAGGAGCTCATATATCATGGAACTAGGGCCATATAAATTAAAGATAAATATTTGGAAAACCAGCTCATCTATATATACATTTTAGAGATTTGTGTGCCTTTTTGTCTGTGAATCTGTCCATCCGTATGTGAGTCTGTTTGTTCAAGAATTCCTCCTAAACGGTAACAGCTAGGACCATCAAATTTGGTATTCAGCTTCCTCTGATCCTAACTTAAAGAATTTCAGGGTTTGCTTGTGCCAGAAAAGCAGGATGTGGCTGGAATTTGATTGTTTTCCATAACATGGAAAGGGAGGGGACTGATCAGAGGGCTGTGATACTGCATAGTAACCACTTGGGGCAGCAAGTGTGTGGGACAGCTATCCTGCAGAGTGACCAGGAAGTGAATGGCCAGATGAGGATGAGGCTTGCCATCTTGCCAGCCACTAGCCCAGGTAAGTGACTCCGTATCTCAAATCCCTCTCCCCTCCGGCCCTCAGCCCCAGTGCCAGACCAGGGGTGGGAAGTCCCACTGACTCCATTACCATGCCCCAGGAACTTCAGCCTGCCATCCAGCACCACCAGGCTGCTCAGCACAGCTGTGGGAGCCAGCCTGGAGTGCCCCTCTCTTCACCCTTGAGTCATGCGCAGGCAGCGCCAGCAGGGACAGGTCTGTGAGGCCCCCCCTTGGCCCAAGGAGTTCTGGTGCAAGGCTTGACCACAATTCCCAGCCCCCTACCAACTCTGGGCTGGCTCCCCATCCCTGGACTGGGCCCAGGGAGCACCAGTGGGAGTGCTGCCCCGCTCACATACTCCCGGGCCAGTCCCGGGCAACACCAATAATTCTTCTAGTTTTTATATATGCAAAGCTTTTAATGCCACGTGACATACAGACATTATATTGAACACAAACATATGGCTCATTTTTAAAAAAAAAACACAAAAAACAAAATGAAACCCAACCTGATCCTATTCAGCATCTATTGCATTTTTTATCAACTTATGTACAATTTTTAGTTTTGTTTTCAAAAAGACAAAGCTTTATTGGGAACTATTTATTACCTTGTGAGTCATGCCTCCACTCTTACAACAAGGTGAGGCTTGACGTCTTCCTCTGTGGAGCTTGGTGTCTGTGATATTCATAGGGCTTTGTGAAGACCCACAGTGACATTTCTCCACATGTTTATAACTTGAATGTTCTTTGTGGTCTTAGTGGTACTAATTCTGATCTTATACCCATTTTATAACAGTATGAATCCATGGACTCCAGGGCCAGGTCTGCATTAGACCAGGCAGGTCAGCTTAAAGTACAACACTCTAGCTTCATAAAATGCGTAGCTGGAGTCGGCTTACCTTAAGCCGAGCCTTGGCAGAGTCCACACTGTGGAGGCTGACAGGAGCAAACATTCCCACTGGCTTCCTTTCTCCTCGCAAAAGAAGGAGTACTGGATGCTGGTGGGAGCTGCCCTCAGTGTTTAATTTAGGGGGTCTATACTAGACCCCCTAAATTGAACACTAGAAGATCAACCTCTGGAGTATCGATCTTCCGGTAAGTATAGATGTGCCCTTAAGACCTGATATACACAGTTTATGATGTATGAGATCAGAATCAAACCCAATAATCCTTTGACCATGAATGAACTATTCATGCTTCTGTATCACACGAATTATTATACTTCCTTTCAAGATGATAGTTTCCAGAGAAAGACAAAGAGGACAATACAACAGACTAAGTATGGCTTGCCTGATTTTTGAGTTATTGTGCCTCAGATATACACCCAGGCTGTGTCTACACTGGCGCAATCTTGCGCCAAAGCAGCCGCTCTTGCGCAAAAACTTGCTGCCTGTCTACACTGGCCGTATGTTCTTGTGCAAGTAAACTGACATTCTACTGTATGAAATCAAGGCTTCTTACGCAAGAACTATGATGCTCCCGCTCAGGAATAAGCTCTTTTGCGCAACTGTTCTTGCGCAAGAGGCCAGTGTAGACAAGTAACATGAATTTCTTGCGCAAGAAGCCGCTATGGTTAAAATGGCCATCAGAGCTTTCTTGCACAAGAGTGTGTCTGCACAGGCACGGATGCTCTTGCGCAAAAGCACATCTCTTGCTCAAAAGCACATGCCAGTGTAGACGCTCTCTCACACAACTACTTTAATGCAAGAACTCTTGTACTAAAGAGTTTTTGTGCAAGATCATGCCAGCGTAGACGTAGCCTCACAGTCTTTTCTTCCCTGCTTTTTCTCAATTAGTGAGGCTACGTCTAGACTGGCCCCTAATTCCAGAAAAGTCATGCAAAGAAGGTAAGTCAGAATAGGGAAATCCGCGGTATCCCCCGCGGGATTTAAATAAACATGTCCGCCGCTTTTTTTCCGGCTTGGGGAAAAGCCGGAAAAAAGCGTCTAGACTGGCGCGATCCTCCGGAATAAAGCCCTTTTCTGGAGGATCTCTTATTCCTACTTTCAAGGGGGATTGAAAGCGGGGGATTTCCCTATTCTGACTTACCTGCTTTGCATGACTTTTCTGGAATTAGGGGCCAGTCTAGACGTAGCCTTGAGTGTATATTGTCAAACTGCATTTTTAATGAAGTTTATCAGAGAAAAATTAAATGCTTAGCAAACAGGACTGAGGAATACAAAACAAAATAGAAGAGCAGCCCAATAATGATCAGTACAATAAGGATGCAGCAGTTATGCTTTTGTTCACAGATGAAAGATAGTAGAGTTGTTCACATTTCTCTTTTTTTCAAAAAAGCAGAGGTTATATCCTTTCAATGATAATTTCGTCTTCCACCAGCTTCACTGGCTGTTTTGTTCTTCTTCGCTTGATTTTGATTAAGCCTCTTTGTCCTTGTTTTTTATTGAAATCTAATGGCAAACAAATTCATTTTACACACTGTATCAATAAGACATCCGTTTCATAGAAAAACAAAGAAGGGCCACATTCTGTACTCCCATATTAGAGTTACGACAGATTTACACTGCTGTCACTTAAAGCAAAATGGGTGCAACCAGCTGGACTCACAGGCCTGATTCAGCTCTTAACTACACACTGATGTAAGTCCACTGACTCTGAAAAGGAATTACCTCTCATTTACTATAAGAGGACTTGATCTGAAGCTCACTCTAGTCAATGGCAAGAGACTCATTGCCTGTAATGGGAGCTGGATCAGAGCAGTGACAGCAGAATGAGTCTAATGACTCCAATCCTTTGAAAAAAACAACCACCTGCAATATTCTGCAGTAAGATAGGTTCTCAATGGCACTATTCTGCCATAAGATCCACACATGAAACTTCTAATGATGTCAATGGGTGAAATTCATCCCTGTACAGCAGGGCTGGGCAAAATATTTCCTGGGGGACAGATTCAGTCTGCCAAGCCACTGGATCTGGCCTGTGGACTACCCTTCCAGGACCCTCAGGCATGTAGCTGTGTGGTTTAAAGCTCAGTCCCTGCATTTCTCTGCTTTGTAGGGAGGGGGAAGCTTCCTGAAATCTCCCCACTCCCAGCCCAATCCTCAGCTCCTAGTGGCCAGAAACAACTGTCCAATAGGAGTGGACCCCAGCCAATCTCTCAGCTCTTATTGGCTGAAAACAACCAGCCAATTAAAGCTGAGAGATTAGCCTGGAGGATGGGAGCAGTGCAAGTCTCTTCCCCCTCCCAGAGCTGAGAGCCACGTGTGGTCTGAAGCTTGCAGTTTTAAGTGATTTGGGGTTGCAGCAGGCAGGGAGCCCAGCCTTCTTTGGGGGCACTGTAGGGCTGCTGGCTTAGGTAAGCGCCTCCCAGCCAGTGCTTGCCTCTGGCACCCCTGCTGCTCCCTCATCCCAACTCCCTCCCGCTAGTGACCATCCAAACCCTCTGCACCTCCTGCCCCAGGTCACAACTCCCTCCCAGATCCTGTATTCCCTTCTACACCTCTCCCCCAAGCCAGAATCCTCCCCTGCACCCATACTCCCTCCTAGACCCTGAACCCCATTCCCCTGCCCCATGTCGCTACCCACACCGTCTGTAGTCTACACCCCCTTTTCTCCTTCTCCCAGGTCACAGCTCCCTCCCTGACTTTCACCCCCCTCCTAGTGCCCCTCTCCCAGGCCAGAATCCTCTCCTGCACCCACACCCACTCCCTGACCCTACACCTCTATTCCCTGACCCAGGTCACAACCCCCTCCTTTGCCCAAACTTCCTCTCAGACCTCACCCCAGTCCCTTACCCCGTGCACCCTTCTGTGCCCAACATACATCCTAGACCCTCCACAGAAAAGTGTGGCCCTTGATCACTTTCCGAAATCTTGGACTGCCCCCTGGCCAGAAATTATTGCCCACCCCTGCTGTACAGAGATCAACACAAGGCCCTGCACCACTTACGTTTCACCGATTCCCTATTTGGATGGCTTCATTGAGACTATAAAGCCATTCATGCAGGGAAGACAGAGAGGGTATGTCTACACTACCCTCCTAGTTCGAACTAGGAGGGTAATGTACGCATATCGCACTTGCTAATGAAGCCCGGGATTTGAATTTCCCGGGCTTCATTAGCATAAGCGGGGAGCCGCCATTTTTAA